CGATGGGCTGAATTGCACAAAACGCATGATCGCACTGGCTAGTCTGGTGCGCGTTGCCATTTATTACTACTTTTTTCCCTCCATTATACATATCTCGTTTTGGATCTTCGAAAAATTTTGAATTTGTCAAAAACAGGCCTATCTTTTCGAACTTTTATTTTTTTATTTCACAGTGAGTTTGGCAGCGGTAATGCATTTCTCTTTGAAATAATAGACCAACAGGACTATAGCAGGCGTCATGTCTAAGAGGTGATATTTTATTGTGCAAACTGCCTTTATCTTTTAGATGTAGTGGGGTGATACGTGTCAATGCAGTCTCTGTTTCATCCCTTAGCTGTAAAGAAGATGCATTACAGAATTTGGAATGTTTTGAGCAAGAAACTCCGTACTCCTTAGAACTAACATCACTTAGAGTAGACATAGAGGATTTATCTGCATCAGTACGCGCCTCTCTTTTCAAAATCGATTTTCTCCTCTCCTTCGTAGAATATGCCTTTTTGTACATGTTTGAAGGCGGACCACGCAGTAGACATGTGGCGTACCACATGAGGCTCTTTTTATGTTGGCGTTGTCCTCCCCGCTTCTGAGAACACATAGCAGTCTCGTTTCATCTTATTTTATCATCCAAATTTACGTAGCGGTGCATTTTGAATGCATTCGCATGTATGGCTTCATATAGGTTATTTGATAATCAGAATTGCTGACGATCCAGACCAATATAGAATGAGCTGTTACATCTTATTTCACACAAATAATAAGGCTTTTTTGTTTAGTCTGCTTGTTATTTCAGGCGAAGCTAGCGCTGGAGATACTCGATGGTGCGTCGGTAGCTATAAAAGACATTAAAAGAAGGGCCGAAATTGCTAGTGCTAAAGAAGCCGCCAACAAGAAGCAGAAGAGAGCGCGCAAAAGGAAATAGACGTTGACTTGTTGCTCATTGAAAATTCAGGTTCTGTTTTGCAAATCCTGAAATCCAGAGATCTACGACTCCATTTTGAGATGCGTATTGTAATATGAAATGACTGTACCGTGCCCATCTACTTGTATGATGTTTTTTTACTGATATGCATTTATACATATTTGACAATCGAATCGCCATACATTCCGATGCTGAAGAGTGGTAATGCATTAAGGCCTGTTGCTTCTCCGAATTCTCTTCCTGCTCCTGTGAAACTTATTCGTTTGGCACACCCTCATAATACTGTTTCCCTCGCAAACGAAATTTTGCTCGTTTATATTAAGCCATAAGCTTTCTTATTGATTACTCACCATGCTGTATGTGTATTTTATGATAAATTGTACAGCACATCGAGTGTCATCCTGCACCTACCCGGCTATGCAATACTACGCGTGCGGATGAAAATACGGGGTATGATAGTCCAAACACTCTTCTGAGCCTGTAATAATCGCTCAACAATTAGATGTATGGTCAGAGTTTAGCTGGAGAGCAGGGCTGAGTGGAAAGATTATAAGCTAAGAAGATTATTGTGTGATGGCTGCAGGTTCCCTGATGAAAGTCTGTAATAAAATCCTATTTCGCACTTATTCCCAATGGTAACAATCGAAACCATATGCTATTGCTTCTGGATTTGGACCGCACTAGCTCCTCGCCGGGCGCTTCTGATTTAGAAAAGCTAGTAAATCAGCTGTTATTTGGAAAGCCTCTGAGCATAGATGCTCCAAACTGGCAAAATTTATTACTGTTATTTACAGTGTGCGCGAGAATTCATGTCCCATATCTTACAAAACTTAACTCTTCTCGCTACCGTTCGCTTTGGTGAGAATTGTACGCATGTCCACCAGCGCATTCTCCAGTTCCTCAGCGTACCTGAAATCACGGATTGCGCTGAAGATTCAGCCTCTACTGTGGCGTGTTTAAGAATATGACACACCGAAACGTCTTCGCAAGAAATTGGTATTAATTTACTTAAAATCCATCTGCTTAGTGATGACTGACGTGTAAATTCACCCCTCACCCAGTAAGCACTTCCAAGAATCAATTGCAGAGGTTACTGCTTTAATGCACTTTTTATATTTTTGCATATCTAAAAATGCATATTGCCTATTAAGAGCCTGCAGCCAGTGACCATGTTATCAAAATTTCTCCTTTTTATGCGTTTTTTGCAGCAATGCAATGCGAAAAACGCGTACTGACGAGAGGTTGTCTGT